TTCTGCTTTTCTGTCTTGCTTCAAATTATTACCGGGGAAAAATGCTTTAAATAAAGCACCTCTCTCAACAATACCGTCGAGTCACCTAAGTATGCATGTATCGGGCAACTTTCCAGCGGACAAGCCGCCTTCACACAGAGAAAAGGTGACTTTACGGAAGGAGACACGACAACGAAACCCATAGGGTTTTACACAGAGAATGCGGACTTCTAGTCAAGGCTTTTAATGTGCAAAACAATTTACATGTTCACAGCAATTTTAACCGGATTTGAAGAGGAGGACTGCCACTTGACCCAGGTAGAAGTAGATGAAGTGCTTGGTTTCGTGAGTAACGTAACTAAAAGTAGAAGACATTTAGCATAGATGCGTAAAAAACGTGAGGTACATTTTAACAGACATATTTATTCATCAGAACGGAACTAGAACACTTTTAACCCGGTTTGTTGATGAGTGTGTCATAATTTTGACGAGAATCGTTGAGTTTCTCCAGATGCCCTCGCGTGATATGCATAATACCTAGTTGTGTATTTCTTAGATTTGGGACAAAACTTCTTCACAGTATCAACCTGACAACCCTTCAAAATGCTCCGGACTGGTACGTACAGAATTTACCAAATTTACGCTCGACAAACACCTGCTCGAAGTACTGTCCCTACTGAGGCCACACATTTTGTTTTCCTGTTAAAAGACCAAACAGATTAGTGGCAGAAGTTAGATTTGAAAACCTCAGGTACATGGCCTAGGGCCATCAACGCCGGAGGCGACGGAGATTCTCAAATCAGCGCCCGTGAATTATTGCTACCAAGAACTTTACAACACACTAACTTGGCTAGAGGGTATTTCCTGTTGTATTAGCTTAAAGCTGCCGTGCCTGAAACCACAAAACTACAAACCAATCAGAACCGACAGAACACCTTTGAGGTAGACTATTTGTTCCTCATGAACGGCAGTATTTATTTTGCCAAATTTAGAGCATTTGATTTTGTGTGATATCTCTGGCTAATATTAATTACAGGAGGATTGAGCAGTAAAATCCCCGCCTTAAGATGCAGCTTAAACAAGACAGTAGACACCCCAGTCCTAGAATTCCGTCTTGCGTGACCGGTGGTATCATTTTAGTTTAGTTTTTAGTTTATTATTTAGTGTAGTTGTTCAATTTAAGCTTTGGCTTAGCTTAGTTAGAAAGTATATTTTGTATAACGTTGACGACATCTTACTAAATTAAACCTAAAATTAAACGAAATAAATGAATAAA